TATACAGCTCGTGACCCTCTGTTATTATAACCTCATTGCAAATCACAGGACATTCTATATCGAATTTAAGTCTTTTAACGTGAGAAGGGGAAGACACAGAGGCTCGTTCTGTAAGCTTGGGTAGACATTCTAAGCCACAGCTTTAAAACTCAAAAGAATGATAGCTGTTCAGGTCGAGGGTGCCGTAGGTTACCGATACGGAGTGCGTTATCTGCAGGTGAAGTTTTAAAACATCGCTATTTACACCCTACCCCGTATGGCAGCCACTAGACGCTTGTTGCCATGAAGCATTTGGAAGGTGCCTCGTCCAAAAGGAGACATACTACAAGTATAAAGTAAGAGATTTTGAAAGCTCAATGTAAGAAAAAATGACATAATATCATTAATAAGCCCTAAATCGATTCCGTGTTAAGATATTTTGGCCGCATTGGGTTAAATACAATTAAACTTAATTTCGCCTGCATCCTTTTACCTTTTGAATGCAGGTGCTAGAAAAGCTTAAGTTACATGACTTGCAGCGTGTGACAGCCTGGCAGCGCTACTCTAGAACGTCTGGGGCACAGAGGTGACCAAGTGTGAATCTTTTTAAGAGTGAGGTACATCAGTCACCGACACCACCGAGAAAGCCAGCAACATTTTGGAGGCTTCGGGTCTCCATCTTGCCCAAAACAAGGGGAGCAGAAACCTTGTACCAACGCGATGCCCACGTCGCGGGAGCGCGACATACTCCCCTCCCGTTACCACGGAAACGAACCCCTAACTCGGAGGAGCCCGCTGCCCTTTGAATGGGGATGGGTGACTTAGCGTGTGTAGCTTGTAAGGTTCCTGTAACACCTTATTAACTGTTTACACATCTCCCCACTGGCGCCTGCTCCCCGGGAGTAGGGATGACATCTTTCTCTGATTCAAATGAATGAGGTTTGACCTTTCCAAAACACTCAGCAGCCACGCACTCGTCCCGAGCATCACAGCACCTACTACGGGACATGCCTCGTTTGCAACTGCCTTTGGAGTGAATGGTATGTTCTTCTGAATACGCTTCAGGGTGGGACCTCCAGCCACTGACGGAAAGATAACTCTTGGAAACAGCCGAGATTCATCCCAAGGTTGGCAAGCAACGTGAACAAACTGAGGATTGTTGCTTCTCAGTTGCTCGTAAAATTGTTTCTGAAAGCAATTTTAAACAAGTTCCAAATATCTTCTGAGCAATGACGACATTCTTGGAATGTCTATGGCTGCCCGAGGCAACTTTAAAGGGCATTTAGTTGGATGCCAAAGAACTGGCTGGCATACTA